CCCCGACGGAGCCACCGCACTGCCTGCCGCTTAACTCCTTGCATGCCATCCACCCGGCCCTCCGCAGCCTCCCCGGGCGCTGGGCCCGGCCGGGTGCCAGGCCTGCAGGGGGTGGGCGCGGGAGAGCGCCTCTCCCAGAGGCCTCAGTTTCCTCGTCTGGGAAGTGGGTGCCGTGGTCACGGCATGCTCAGGATTTAGGATGATCAGGAGGGATCACATAAACGACGAGGAATGTGTGCCTCCTGAAGGAGGCTTAGCCCTGGCACAGAGTAAACACCCAGCCCCAAAGGGCGGGGTTCTTGTTTATTAAAAACAACAACAAAAGCAAACAACAAAACCCACTGCCAACTCATACAGACCCCATAAGGCAGGGTGGCACTGCCCCCTTCGGTTTCCGAGACTGCAACTCTTTACAGGAGTGGAAAGGCTCCTCGTCTTTCTGCCTTGAAACACTGGGGGTTCTCAACCGCTGGCCTTTGTGACTAATCCCTCCTCCTAATCCCCAGGACTCCTCACTTAGGTACCTTTAAACTTTTTTAACGTGTGACTTGGGGGGCGGGGAGTTTGAAGAGCAAATTGGCTTTCCATTCAAGGAAGGATGTTCATTTTGACTGGTCACGTGGTGTATCATCCCCACCAGGTAACAACACTCTCCCAACCTCCTATGTTTCCATTGGTCCCTCTTTCCTACCCCTTTCTGCCTTCTAAGGCAAAAGAGTCCCCTTTTGATCCCAAGTGGTTGATTGTCCCCTCCAGTGTTTTTGTGCATCTTCTAAGCCAGTCTTATTTTGCTGAGAGTTGAGCCACTGGGATGAGGTTAGGCTTTAGGCTTGAAGACTGACTAAGGGCCAAGGCCGGGGTGTTCCAACAGGCAGCCTGATATATATCTATCTTTGAGTTTTGTCTGTATTTCTTACCCAGGGTTCCTCCAGTGTGATCTCTTTCAGAACAGTCAACAGTGGTAGTCAGGCACCAGCTAAGCTCTTCTGGTCTCAGCGTGGTGGATGCTGGAGTTCAAAAGAGTCCTTTGGACTCATTGTTTGCATTGGTATTTGATGTTCTTCATTCTTCTGTGCTCTGGACCGGGAGAGGCCAATCGTTCCTTCAGTGGCTGCTCAGAATTTTAAAGACCCTCGTCACTACTCACCAAAGAGAATGTAGAACTTGTGGGCTCTTATGCTAATTGACCGAGGTGTGCTTCAACATGTGGTCTTGAGCCGTCGGGCCCAGTGAATTCTTCCATCAAGGGGTTTGATGATGACTAAGAAGCTTTCATAACTTGCCCCCCCCCCAGGCTCTACTATGTACCCGCATGTACTCACAGCACATATAAATATCAATCTTGTTGCTAGGCACCTTTGAGGCGGTTCTGACTCACAGTGACTCAGTGTGCAACCGTGTGCAGCGCCTCTCAGTCCTGTGCCATCCTCACAATGGTTCTTCTGCGGGAGCCCGTTGCTGCAGCCACTGTGTCTGTGCATCCAGCTCACCAAGGGCCTTCTCGTTTTCACGTCCCCTCTACCAAGCATGACGTCCGTTTCCAGGGAGACAAGCCTCTCCATCCTAGCTTCTCAGAAGCATTCTGGCTGTACTTCTTCCAAGACAGATGTGTTTCTTCTTTTGGCAGTCCGTGGTACTAGCAACATTCTTTGCCAGCACCCTAAGTCCAATGGATGCACATATAAATATATATGAAGAAATATCTTTGGTCAAACCAGCATATATTCTTGGGGGTAGTCCTCATATTTTCCTTCCCACCTTTGCTTGGCCTGAGTGGCTTTGTCCTCACTCATCGATGATTATATTATTAGCACTATTGCAGGATTGTGTATGTGCTTGAATTTATCTTTCTGCCTTTAACTCTAAGTCTTCTGCCAGGCTCTTCTTTGGTCCTCATCATTTTTTGCCGACCCCCCTCCATCTATTGCCTTTCCCTTCATCTAGGTTAAGAGGTCAGTGGTACAGCCTCCATCCCCATCCTAGCCCTGGTAACCCCTGAAGGGGGCTTCTGTGAGTAAGCCTCTCCTTGACTTTTGATAACAGGGGTCTGCTACAATGTCTGTCCTGTGTGATTGGCTAATTTCTCTCAGCATCATGGCCTCCAGGTGCACTCAACCTGGGAGGTGTTTCGCAGATCCATCATCATTCTTGACTAGCGTGCAGCATTTCCACTCCATGGATGTATAATTGATTCTCTGTCCATCCCTCCATTGATGGGAACTATGGTAGCTTCTGTCCTTTTGCTATTGTGAAGGGTGCTGCAATGAACCGGGGTGGGGTGGGGGTGGGTGGCTTTACATGCTCACGTTATGCCTTTTCTTTCTCAAGGTCAGTGGCTCTCGGCCTTCCTAATGCCGCGACCCTTTCATACAGTTCCTCATGTTGTGGTGACACCCCAACCATAAAATTACTTTTGTTGCTACTTCATCACTGTCATTTTGTTACTGTTGTGAATCGGGCGACCCTTGTGAAAGGGTCATTTGACCCCCAAAGGGGTCATGACCCACAGGTTGAGAACTGCTGTTCTAGGTGGACACCAAGGAGAGGGATTGCTGGGTCATATGGTATTCCTATTTTTACCGTCTAGAGGATGCACCATACTGTTGTTCATTTTACAACCCCACCGACTGTGTATGAGGATTCTAGTCTCATTACACCCTCACCAGCTGTGTTAGGCCGGGCAGACTAGAAGAATAAATCGACACATTTAAATATTTGTGTAAGAAAGAACTTTCTATCAAGAAGCTTTATATATCAGGAAAATATCCCAGCTCAGTCCACTCAAGTCCATAAGTCTGATACTAGCCCATCAGGCCCTCTTCAGATTTATGCAGCCACATGCAATGATGCAGGATGCAGGAAGGCCACAGGCCGGTGGGTGCAAAGTCTTGTGGATCCAATGGCGGTGTATGCATCTCCAGGGTTCTGACAGGTTTCAGAGTGGCTCGTCACAGGAAGGTGAAGGCAGAGAGAGAGAGAGGTTCTCAGGGCCCTCCTTATAAGAAGGCCATGCCCACAAGGAGGTATCATCAGGCACTCCACCACTACGCTTTTTATATAACAAGTTGACATGAAAATTTGTCACTACTTTTGCGTGTCTATTGTAAATGGTATTGTTTTTCTGATTTCCTTTTCTGACCCCTCTTTGTTCGCATATATGATTTCAGCTGGTTTTTGTATGTTGATCATGTTCTCTGCCACTTTGCTGACTCTTTCGCTTAATTTCAATACTTTTCTTGCTGTGTCTTTGGGATGGTCTATGTATAGAATCATATCATCTGTAAATAGAGATGTCAATTCGCCTATTGGGGGGCCAACGATTGAACCTTCTTGTCTTCTAGCTCCGGCTCAGACATCTAGCACAATATTGAATAGGAGTGAACCCTTGTCTGGTTCCCTTTTTCAACTTCTCTCCATTTAGAGTAATGTTGGTTTTGTATATATACGCTTTATTATGTTGATGTCATTTTCTTCTATTCCTGTTTTGTTTAGTTTATTAGGAATGGGTGTTGGTTTTTGTCAAATCTTTTTTTCCTCCCCCTGTTGTATGATCAGTTGGCTCTTTATGTGGTGACTTGCATTGACTCTTTTCACACTGTTGTACCATCCTTGCATACCTGCTATGACTCCTACCTGGTCATGATGCATGTTTAAGAAATATGTTATTGGATTCTATGACTAGGAAAGTGGTGCTCAACCTTCCTAATTCCATGACCCTTTCAGACAGTTCCTCATGTGGTGGTGACTCCCAACCATAAAATTATTTTCATTGCTACTTCAATAACTGTCATTTTGCTACGGTTATGCATTGCCATGTAAATAGCTTTTATGCAGGATGTGTTTTCATTGTTAGAAATCGAACATAATTAAAGCCTAGTGATTCATCACAAGAACAATATGTAATTCTATATTGTGAAATGTTTCTTTCAAATGACAAATAAATGAAATTTTTTCTTGAAGCCTGGTGTAGCATGGCTAACAGTCTTCATGCCGGGTACTCAGATGTGGGCATATCTGCATGTGGGCAGACCCGCCTGGAGATAGATAGAAGAGCGGTGTCTTGGTTCCTACAACCATTGGAAATATGTGTTTTCCGATGGTCTTAGGCGACCCCTGTGAAAGGGCCATTCGACTCCCAAAGAGGTCGTGCCCCACAGGTTGAGAACCGCCAGACTAGGATTGAGAATTTTTGTGCCTCTGTTCTCCAGGTTATATTGCTCTATAATTTCCTTTATTTTTTAGTGGTGTTTTTACTGGTTTTTGTATCAAAGTTATGCTTGTTTCTGTAAAAGGGATGTACAATAGCATTGTTTGACCTCCACTAACTCTACTAGGGGGAAGGAGACTCAAATTTCATATCAGCTTTGCCCAAACTCATTTCTTACGAGGCTGAAGTCAGACCTGCCTCTACTCTCTAACCTTCGTTACCA